AAAATTTTTTTGACCAATAAAACCCCTTAAACTCTCAAAATTAAATCCTAATACAACATAATTAATCCAAACATAAATGATATAATTATTTTTTTTTTGAAAAATGATATTTTAGCAAAAATTTTTAAAAAGTGATAATTTTGGAAAGTAGCACAAATGACATTTTTTTAAATTTCTTAAAATTTTATTAGTTTTTTTTAATGTGAGAGACTATAAGAAATTCTCAATGAAAGTGCTCTAGATAGATCTGATGATGCATGGGAAATAAATCAAATGTTTTCATATAAAGGTCCATCATTTATTATAATTTATTTCAAGTTCTTCTTACATGCATCGTAACGCTGACTCGTAGAAGTAGATAGAGAGCAATAAATTTTTCTCTGCCGAAAGGAAAACATTACAACCTCAATAGTAGGGAGATATTTATAACTAGTAGATTTTATTTTAGTTTATGAATTATTGAATTTTCAAAGCGACGTAAAACAACTCTCATTTATTATCTACTTACTCTCACAACTTCCATCTTCCTCACTTTAAACACAAACCAGATCCTATTTATGACCACCATGTGCACCTTTCTCCCAATTAAAAGGTAATTTTATTTAATTAAATTTAGCTAAAAAATTAAAAAGAACAGGCTGGTTCAATCTTTTCCACGAATCAAAAATGGTTGGGAAAAAAAAAATTTGATTAAGAGAGAGACAAAGTTGACAAAACATTGAAGTAAACTAACTTCCTAACCTCTTTATCTTTGTGTAAACTATGTATATATAAATAAACCAAAGTACATATAATCTTTCACCATTCATTCTCACACATACCAAAGCAAACAACAACAAAAAGAAACATGGAACATCACACGACGTCGTTTTTGCTTCTCTTATTGGTTTCCTCTACCTTCTCCATTCTCCAAATTTCATTTGCTCAAGACACTACTTCGACGACTATTGTTCCTGCGATCATAACATTTGGTGACTCTGTAGTTGATGTCGGAAACAACAACTATCTTCCGACCATTTTCAGAGCTGATTATCCTCCTTATGGCCGTGACTTCGCTAACCACAAACCCACCGGTCGTTTCTGTAACGGCAAATTAGCCACTGACATTACTGGTAAAAGCTTTCTTCTTACTTGTAACCCAAGTTATCTTGAAACTCAAGTGTTTTTTTTTGTCTTTCTCTGTTTTGCAGCTGAGACTCTAGGTTTCACTAAGTACCCACCAGCTTATCTAAGTCCTGAAGCTTCAGGGAAGAACCTTCTCATTGGTGCTAATTTCGCTTCTGCAGCTTCAGGTTATGATGACAAAGCCGCTCTTCTCAATGTGAGTCACACTCTTCTTTCTTTCTTGTACATTTTGATCTGTTTTTGTTTTTGTTGTCTCTTCTGATTTTTGTTCTTTTTGTTTTTTTTGTTGGCAGCATGCGATTCCTTTGTATCAGCAAGTTGAGTATTACAAGGAATACAAGAGCAAGCTCATAAAAATTGCAGGAAGCAAAAAAGCTGATTCGATCATTAAGGGAGCAATCTACCTCTTAAGTGCAGGAAGCAGTGACTTTGTTCAAAACTACTATGTGAATCCTTATCTTAACAAAGTATACACTCCCGATCAGTACGGATCTATGCTTATCGACAGCTTCTCTACATTTATCAAGGTAAAAAAAAGCAATCTCCTTCTTTGTTTCTTTCTGGTTTATCCTCTGTTTTCAAAGAAAGAGGAGAGATTTGATTGAATGTTTGCAGGGAGTGTATGCGGTTGGAGCAAGGAAGATCGGTGTGACTGGTCTTCCTCCAACGGGATGTCTTCCAGCTGCAAGAACTATCTTCGGTTTCCATGAAAAAGGTTGTGTTTCAAGTTTCAACACAGATGCTCAGCAATTCAACAAGAAGCTTAATGCAGCTGCTTCAAAGCTTCAGAAGCAATATGCTGGTCTTACGATTGTTGTCTTCGACATCTTCAACCCACTCTATGATCTTGTTCAGTCCCCTTCCAAATCCGGTAAGTCACAAAAGATGGACTGATGTAGAACATTCCTTGTTACTGATTTGCTTTAGATAATCCATGACCCTTTTTCTTCTAAACAGGATTCACGGAAGCAACAAAAGGATGTTGTGGAACAGGAACAGTTGAGACAACTTCGCTCTTGTGCAATCCGAAATCGTATGGGACATGCACTAATGCTACTCAGTATGTGTTCTGGGACAGTGTTCATCCCTCTCAAGCCGCCAATGAGATTCTTGCCCTTGCTTTAATTGGACAGGGCATCTCTCTCCTCGGTTGATCTCTATGTATTTGTCTTTTGAAATCGCTGTTTTATATCAAACCTTGAGTCATACATTTGTTTACCCTTTGAGTTATGTATCAAACCACCACTGTTTTTACTTACATGAATTGATGATTACTTTCTACAAAGAAAACCAAAAGTCGAAAACACTTGATACTGGAAACTATATACAACCTCCCTTTGCATGTTCATTTGTACAAAGATTCAAAAGGCTAAACACATTTGTCATCTAAACCATGCCTATACTATATATGACCAAAAAAGCTAATGAATGGGTTACTTATAACGAACATAGTAGTAGTCAAATGTGTCTAAGTAGTGAGAAAGCTCAAGTCACAGCAGATGATGGATGCTATTTGGAGTTCTTCAGCAGCATGGTCCGTTAGTTAAGCAACTTGAATATTTCCTGATTTCTCTGCCTTGACATTTGGTGACAACAATATTGCTTTCAAAGCCGAGGATGCTCTGTTGAGTTCTTCAGTAGATGCAGTCGCTTTGGAGCAAGTGGCTGCTGCCTCTGCATTTTTGTTACCATGTCCCTTAAAGACCATTTTCTGTTTAGCTCCACTCTTGGCAATGTTATAAACCTGCAGAAAATACCAACTTAGAGATTTATAAACTTTCAACTGAGCAGACATTTTGAACCAATTCAACATAAAAAACAGGGAGATTTGTTGTT